TATTCCCCAACTCGGGACTTGCCAAGCAGGTTCCAGAATCTTCTCGTTCCTCGGTGTTACCAACACTATCGGGACATTCTATATCCGCTCGGCAGTATGCAGACGCCCGACAGTAACAACTTTCCAATACAGAGCATTGGTGTGACCTGAAGTTACAGATTAATCTAAGCCCCAACTTAATGAAGATCCGTTACCGTAATGCAAACCTATTTTTCAAACTTTCGTCGTCCGTGGGATTTGAACCCTAGACCTGCTACTTGGAGAGGATGATGACTTGACCACTTCACTAAGCCGCCACACCTCTAATCTGATTTGTTTCTCGTGGGTAGTTTTAATAGTAGTTGTTAATAAAAATATAGCTCTCCATCTTCAATTTTAAGAAATCAATATCTAGTTAATATTTCTTTGGTTCTTTTTACAACATAATTAGACAAATCATCCCGAAAAACTTGGCATTGCATTGGTGCTAGCTGCGAGGAAGTAATTGAGTATTTTTCAAAGTATTCAAAGTAAGTAAGATTATCGAATTCAGGATCATGAGGACGAGACATGTACTTCGTAATTGTGTCATTGTAATATAAATTTTCGTTGTCTTCATCTATTATAAAAGCAGGAAGTATTGCACGGTTTCTTGTGGGAGGAGGTTCAGTGATTAGAAATTTTACAGTAGCAGAAGAATTACATATTTGATGATCTAGAAGTAAGTATATTAGTTCTATTGAGCTAAGTCATTGTGCAATTACATGTTCTCTAAACAAATCATTCATGTATATGTTGAATACGTGCGATGGCTCGGTTTTCGTAATATATTTTGTAACATATCATGCGAATTCTTTATCGGTTATATATTGCGTATTCATATGCACGTTCCAAAGTAAAAGGGTTGGGGCATAATAGGGAACAACCCAGAAGTCAGCTTGGGTTAAGCATTTGTAAGTGTAACTGGAGTTGCCTTCTTCGTAATAAGTTGTTTCGCGGAATTGCTGGTCCTTGGCATCTTGCATCGCAGGTATGTATTTGATTTGCTATAACAGCAGCGTAAAGTTCAGGTTCATATTCAGGGCTTGGCACAGTCGATCTTATTATATTGTTCGATATCATGGTTTTGATAGTATTAGTTGTCCAGTAGCAACTGTGTGTGTGCGTAGCTCCTCTGTTTTGAAACTCTACTCTATTGAAGAAATTCATGATATCACCAAATTCTGTGAAATTTGGTTTTTTATAAAGTTCATTTTTTAAAGATTGAAATCTGTGGACAAAATAATTTGCACAGTGAAATGGTCTGTTTGTAGGCAAGGTATCGCCATTATCACTATCACAGAGTATATCACGGAGATAAGTCCATCTACTCTCTGCTATGCTTAGAGTTATAAACAAAGAAAGTAATTCAAATTTTTGTAACATGGCATTTAAATGGAGTTGTTTCTGGTGAAAGTAAGTATCACCTATATGTACAAAGAATGTGACAGAAATTGTTATATTTTCATTGAGAATGTTGTATGACGTGTAGGTGCTAGGATGAAGTAGATCTCTTCCCGATGGAAGACGCTCATTATTAACAGGATTGGAATTATTTTGACATATTAGGTGTTGTGTGTTTTGGTGATGTCTTAGTTTTTCTAATTGAAGATAAGACCATGAAGGCCAATGATGGTGAAGCCTCTATCTAGAGTTGATATTTATTAGTCTTTGTTTAATGTATTTTCTGTATGTCTCAACGCGTGATTCATTATTTGATTGTGATTGATTTGATACATCATAAAAGTGCCCTCTTCCGTCTGTGAATAAATCTGGAAATAATAAAGGTTCTAAGTTTGGATTATATATAGAGATCAGTAGATGTAAGTTATTGCTTTTTTGAACAAAACCCGTCATTAACCTAGAATAGTAAAAATCTTCATTATGGACTTCATCTGGGAAGTTATAATTTGGTATCACTATGTCGTGTGGATTGACAGCTAGTGCATTGGGATTGGTCTGGATATATCTAGCTCTTGGAAAGGGATCATTATGTTCATGGGTCATTTTACCTGATAAACTGTTGGCTAATGAGCATAAGTAAGAATTGTTTTGGGCTAGCCAGCTAGCAGCACTATGTAAAGTTTCGTCATAAATGGAATTATTTTCAGAACTATTCATGTTATTGTCGTTTGGTTCTAAGAAAGCGCCTAGAATTCTGAAATACAATAAATGAGCTCTACTATTACGCGAGTAGTTCATGTTACCAGTCAAACTTCTATATTCTGAGTAAAAATTACTATTTGGAGTTCTTCTTAATGAATAATGCAGGTAAATGGGTGATAGATATTTTCGTTTATGCAAGGGGACTAAAGTAATTTCATTTGGCATTAGAGGAAATTAGAATCTTGTAGAATCTTTCTTACAAGAAGTGCAAGTAGGGATTCTTAACTCAGTAATTTGGCTACGATTAGGATTGAAAGACAAAGTAACATTAGGCACATGAAATTGTAAAGGATAAACTATCGATAGGTTATATAACACCCAAGAAGCTTTTGTGGGATATAAAAGCCTTCCGCAATATATGCAGGCAATTCGAGACCATTGAGCTAAAATGTTATCCTGAAATTTATTATATAAATTCTGGAAATCTTCTAAAGGTTTCCAATATGTATTATCAATACTTTGATTCTGGAGATTAGTATTATGTGGCGTTACGTTGGGACCATCGGCGGGGCAAATGGTCCAATCTTGTAAAGTTTCATGTTCATCGTCGAATATGTAAGTGTTATAAAGCTGATGGGTCATGGCTTAATTTTTTTCTCTTTAGCTAAATAAAATAATTACAAGGAAGCTAGCTTTAATGAGTTAAAATAAAAATATGTTACGGATGTGAAAGCATTTAAGGGTGAGACACGATCAAATTTATTAAGATAGATGCAGAGATGGGACGATAGGGATAATCATAACTAATAAGAAAGTAAATATTTTTAAGATTTAAGAGTTTTGAGAAATTAAGCTAAACACAAGAACTTTATTGTTTACTGATTTTATATTATTTTTCAATCTATAGAATCAAGTTCTGGTAATCTTGCTAAAGGTCAAATATTACAGTTTAAATACACTTTTACTTTATCGTGATTATTTATTAATGCGTTTAAACTAATTTCTTTTTTTTTATTTAAAATAGTATATGAGAAAGTAAAAACAAAGGTCATTGACAAATATAAATAGATTTTTTTTCTTTATATTTTTTGGGAAAACTTTATTGAGACGAAGCTTAATAACAGCATCAATATTATTAAAAGATTTCCTTTTGTAATAATCGATTCTCAATATTAAAAATTCTTAGCGTTGCTCTTCACGCTATTGGTATAAAAGCTTAATACAACTTTTCTATTGCGCCTATAACAAATCGTTTGTATTTTGAAACCAGAAATTGTTCCTTTTCTGTAACTTCAACCAATCAAACTTTGTTAAAGTTCAAATATTACAATTTAAATAGATCTTGCTTTATCACAGTTATTTATTAACGCGTTTAAACTAATTTCCTTTTTTTTATTTAAAAGAGAAAGTAAAGACAAAGGTGGGTTCTTTCCTTTATATTTTGGAAAAACTTAATCAAGATGAAACTTAATAACAATATCGATATCATTGAAAGAATTTCCTTTTGCAATAATCTATTTTCGACATTTAAAATTCTTGGCATTGTTCTTCATGCTATTGGTATAAAAGTTCGACAGAACTTCTCTAGCGTACCTATAACAAATTGCTCATATTTCAAAAACAGAAATTGTTCCTTTTTTGTAACTTTTCAATCAATCAAACTTCAGGGTCAGGTGTAATGTAAACAATTAAAGCGAAACAAGTTTATTACGCTTCTTTTATGGAATATAACAGTAAGTAACAAGTTTATTATGCTTCTTTTATAGAATATAATAGTAAGTAAATTTGTCCATAGTATACTAAAATAGTTTAGTGCATTTCTTGTTGTATGATAATTCTAGATCAAAGAGGATAATTTTTTTAGGATAATTTTAACTAACTAATAAAGTTAAGATGGTACTACGAATAAATGACAACGTGACAAGAGAAGTTCAATGTTCGCGATGACACGTAGACAAGAATGAGAAGTTAAATTATTACGAAAAAAAATTATATATTGAAAGGTCTATATATAGATTTTACGATTTCTGAGTTAAACCTGGATAATTAAGCGATCTCTGGATTAGAGTATATATTTATTCAAAAAAAGATAGAAAAATGTTGAATAAATTGAATATACAGTACTTAAAAATATACTGTAATTAAATATAATTTATGAAAGTATTACTATAGAATTGCGAATTTGTAAAAAAGAAATTAAAGTGTTATCATCTTATATGATTCATTGCATTAAGTTGTTTATAAGACAATAAGAGCTGTTATAGTAATGTTAATACTAAGTTAAGTGTATGTGTAGAAGAGAGAAAAAAAAAGTATATAAGCTTTTAGGTTAAATTTTTTTTTAATTTTTTTTTTTTAAAATTTTTTTTCTTTAAATTTTTTTTTTTTTAAATTTTTTTTTTTTTTTTTGAAAGTAAAAAGGGGATCGAGACATTTGGCTAGGTAGGTTAGTCTGCACTTTCGTCAGTTTGACTACTTTGACTATTTGTTTCATTATTTTGTTTAGCCATATTTGGCATAGGGTTAGCATCCAAGGCAGCTTGAAGATTATTACTAGTAGGTATTGTTGTTGGACCCATCTGGGATAATGTTGGATGACCTCCTCACAGATATCATGATGTAGCTCCACGGGGTGTGCGATTTGTTTTGTTGAATATACGTGCAGAGCTATTTCTTTGGGACAGCCAGGGATGTTGATGTGTTGAGAGTTTGAACTTGTATTACTAAGATTCGAAGAGAGTAAGGAGATATCTTCTAATGTTAGAACATGTTTTCCTTCACTAGAATTAGGTATAGAAGGATGGTAATTCATAGTTCCGACGAGGAGAGTAGTAGTGGACCAGATTTTTTGGTTTATAGCATTTGTTCTATTTGCAAGATAATTATTATTTGCCTTGTGTTTTACTTCTACCCAGAAATTAGACAGATCCTTTTCACCAAATCTTTTTTTGATATAGAAGTTAAGAACTGCATTTTCTTCTTCAGTTTTGATGGTTTGCGTCGTTTGACCGGTAATTATGACATTCATGCCTATTGCAGGCATATCGTCAAATCCCAAGTTAGTAATTTTAATTGAGGTAGTGTTGACCTTATGGCGTAAGATAAAAATTCATTAGTTTTTCTTATGAATAATAACTTTTTTGCAATAAGTCAAATATAACTACCAAAATTATTTATGAGTGCTGTTAAGATATGGGTCTTTGCTTTGAAAATGACCTTATGGTACATGATACGGTAAGGGTATTTTCAAGGCAAAGACCCCACTCATGTTAAATATGGACTGAACTTTGTTAATGGTGTTGTCTATGACCTGCTATGATGTATTAGTAGATTACGACTTTATGACATATTATTACACTATGACATTTTTTTTGGTTATAAAGCTGGCAATGATCTAATATATCAATACTGATTTTTAAATAGTTCTGGTAGTTATGTTAGAGGGTTCTTATTAGAACAAACCATATAATAATTTTCAACTGCGACGAATTTTCCTTGGATATATGTTACGTCGCCGACTTCGAAAAGTTCTATATAGTGTTCGACGCTTTTATCGACAGGAATAAATGCTTTTATTTTTAAGAACAAAATTTTAGTTGGATTATTATTTTCTGACTTTATTATTTTGGTTATTTCTCTCAGATAAAAATTCTGGGTAATCTGATCTGAACAATCGTGAATGTAACAAAGAGTTGATACTTTAGCAGACATTGTTATTTTATTTTATTTTATTTTTTTTCATAATTAATTTTGAAAAATGAAAAAAAGACGTTTTCGGGAGGGTTATTATAGTTTTAAAAAAATTTTTTAGTTTACTCGTTATTTTATTTGGAATTTTTTTTTTATTTTTAACTAAAAAATAAAATTGCACATTCTTTTTAAAGATTATTTATGCACATTTTTAGGAATCGGTACTCCTCTGATACAAAAAAGGTGCAGTCATTCATGCTGTTATTACTAAAGCTTTGTGAATATTTGATTTTATTTTCTCTGAAATGTCTATAAAAAGATACTAATTTATAATTTTTATTTAAAAATATTTAGGAGCTTGGGAAAATCTAGAAACATGAAACTCAATTTAACTAGTAAATTAAAGTTTATAAATATTAATTTCTTATAAATATATATTTAATTAATACTATCAAAATTTTTTGTGTTTAAAAAAAAAAGTATGTGACAGTGGTAAAGATAATAAGAGAATTACAGTATATAGAAAAAAAAAATAATAGGTTCGATAATAGAAAAACGTATGAAATTTTTTTATAAGATTCGAAAATATGATATTTAAAATTCAAATATTCAACAGAAATTTCGGTTTGGTAAGAATATTTAGACTTCTTTTCTCACTATTTTCGTGGTTTATCGCTTTTTCGAAATTGGTGAAAATAAATATTTTTTAAAAAAATTTTTTTTGCGAATACCCGATTAATTTAGAACCTGATCGAAGATAAAATAAATTAGGTAATTAGTTATTTTTTTTTTATCTATTTATTAGTATAAAGATAATTACTATCTCATAGTTATAATTTAATCGGGTATTCAGGTATCTCATAAAAAAAAAATGGTTCTTTTCGAGAAAATTATCATTCTCAACTATTTCAAAAACAGCGACGTACATATACAGGTATTTTAAATTTGAGATACGTTTGGGTTTTTGCATGGGTTTTGGAAGATAGAATTACTATTAACATTTATGAATTACAGGTTTAATCTAAAAGGGGAAGTAAACTTCAAAATTAAACCTTGAAAACAATTAAATAGCTAAAAGCAATTAAAAAAAAAAAGCAAAAAAGTTTACTTGAGTGAGTGATACAGACAGAGGAAGTATGTACATATCGTGATTTTATTTTATTTTATATTTTAGTCAAAAAAAAAAATCAATCAAATAAGAAAAAAAAGAAATTTGAAATTAATTAAAAAAAAAAACTAAGTTAAGGTGTAGATGTATTGATTCGGTTATTCAGAGGATAAAGGTAAATTGGGCTATTTCAAGAGATTCTACGTAGGAATATAAAAACATTCTAAGAAAAAATTTTCGTAAAAAAAAAAAAAAAAAAGAAATGTTCTGAATTAAAGAGAACGAATTTTGTAGTTGTAAGCTTAAAAAAAAAGTGTAGACTTTGTTATGCTTAGTTAAATTTGTCTAAACTCGGATATTATTTTTTTTCTATTTATTAGAAAAAAAACAACAAAAATAAAGAAAAAAATTTAGAGGTAAATAGTAATAGACATGTAGGGTTTTTTAAGGTTTTTTTTTTTTAATAAGTATATATAGAGCATGAATTCACTAGGGTGGATGGGTGGGCATTACTCTAGTAATCGATAATGGCAGTGGATTTCGGATTAAATAAAAAAGAGTATTAATTCGGATAAAAATAATACGAGTAATTTAGTAAAAATCGAAAGATAGTAGATCCAACTAAAAAAGAATAAATGTTGCAAGTGTTTTGAAAATCAGCGAGAAAAAAGCAGGATTAGATCTAAAGAGTAGCTTGTACAAAAATTTCAAAAAATAGAATTGTACGATTATCTTGTCCGAATTAGTGCTTGTACCATCTTCAGTTTTCTATAAGATGTTAAATATATAGACATTAATATTGAATGTGACAATATTAGTAGTGCAATGATGAGTGCAGCATTAGAACACATACCTTGGGTTAATGTTAAGAAAACTGAAGCTTAGGAAAAAAAGTCAATCCCAAAGTCAGAAATTTATAAAGAAGTTAAGCTTCTATATTATTTACAAAAAAGAAGTAAGAAAAGCCCTTTCAAAAAGATTAAATCTGATGAAAAAGAAAGTTTAAATAAAAGAATTGATGAAATAAATCAGATGCACCAAACACAAATTGCACAAATGCCAGAGTATTGGAGTCAAATTCAATTAGAGGAATTAAAAAACTAGGGCAAAATTCTTAGAAAAAAAGCAGGCGATGAAGAGCATAGAAAAAAAGAAAGCGAAATTTGGGAGAAAATAGAATTAAGATTTGGTATGACAGAAAAAAATAAGAAGAAAATGCTTCAAAGCTTACTGAATAGATCACACAACAAAGTTACGATAGACAGAGTTCTAGTAGAGAAGAATTCTAGAGTTCACAATCTGAAATTAATCAATAATGAAGAAGGAGTAAAATGACAAGTAATCTCTTATTTTAAAAAACAATTTAGAAAAAGGAATCAAAATTTTAAAGAGATTAAAGCAGAATGGAAAGAAAAATACAAGCCAAAAAAGAGATTGATCCTTCAATATATAAGGAAATAACAGACCCCTTATACTAGAAGAATAGACACGAGCTCTGAGAAAACTAGAAATGATACAGCACTAGGAATTTCAAATATTAGCTATATTTTTTAAAAAATTATTACCCAGAGTGATTAAGAAAATATTAGCATTAATGAATGCAATTTTCGAACAAAGCAAGATTCCAAATAATTGGAAACTTGGTCAGATATACTTAATCCCAAAAAATAGCTCGTGGGAATACAATCTAAGCAATACGAGACCTATAGTATTACTTGAAACATGTAAAAAAATTTTAACACGAATGCTTCAAATTAGGCTAGACAAAGTACTAAGCAAAAATAGTATATTGAAAAGAGCAAACTTCGCAGGCTTGTCTGGGGAAAGTACATCGACCTCTATACATATTATAAACAATATAATAGAAGAAGCAGTAGAAAGAAAAAAAGAGCTCTGGGTGACGTTTCAAGATATGAAGAAAGCCTTTGACTCAGTCAGCATAATCTCATTAAAAAAAGCTTTAGAAAGAATTAAAATCCTAGCAAAAATAATTGAGATAATAATAGAGCTATATGAGAATAGACAGCTTAGCGTAATAACAGAGTTTGGAAGTACAGATTTCATAAATGCAGGAGATGGTATTAATCAAGGAGAGGTACTGTCTCCATTGGTTTGGGGAATTTTTTATAATCCATTACTCTGTAAGATACAAAAAGCTAAACTAGGTTACAAAATGCACGATCCAGAAACACGTATAAACACAAAAGACACTGATGTAAATATTAGAGTAGGAGTGTTAGCATATGCGAATGACACAACTTGGTTGACAAGTAGTCAAAAAAGCATGCAAAGTACAATCAACATTGCACAAGAGTTTTATAAATTAAATGATATTGAAATAAATCCGAACAAGACTAAACTCATAGTACTAAAATAGAGTAAAAAGAAGTATGCAGAAGATTCCGCAATTTGATTGGGTAATCCGAGAACCAGAATTATAGCAAAAGACCTTAAAGAAACTACCAAATTCCTAGGGGTCTGGATGTCAATCAAAAATCAAAAAAGGTCTGATATATTCAAAGCAAAAAGTATAGTAAGCAAGATCACAGGCCTACTCAAGCACAAACAGATATCTCTGAGCCAGATCATATATGTAAACAATGCAATTCTTATACCTACCCTAGAGTATAGATTAATGATCTCATATCTAACTAAAGCACAGTATGAGAGAATACATCAACCAATGATTTGTCTAATAAAATGAAAAATGTCAATATCTTTCATGACAGCGAATATAATAACAAAATACCCAGAAATAACAAACCTCAAAAGTTTCTGGAATAGACATATGGAGCATCACATTTCAGAGTTGCTAATAAGACTAAATACACCAGAGTTATTAGAAGAGTCGACTTAAACAAGACCAGTTAAGAGCATGATCTTTGAACTGTATTTTAACAAACCAGAATGCACTAGCAAAAAAAGAAACAAAAGGTCGCAACTTAGGCATAAATATCTTGCAACAAGCACACACTCTGGGCTTTTTAATAGAAGAAAATGAAATCACAAAAAGTTGGAATCTAGATATTACACAAGCAGTGAATGATGAAGAGATTGCATGTTTCTTCGAGCGTTTGAACATGATGTATGAGGAAACAAAAGCGAGCAGCCTGGGTTTAATCTTGGTTTCACAACTTATTGCAAAGGATAGCAAAACAATGCATACATAGAAGCAAGTCAAAATAGCAGAAAGCAAGGGTTTAAAAAGAAAAAAAGCAGGCTGGTTCGCTAGATTAGAAAAAGAA